CTTGGTTAGCTGTCAGCAAATTATCTGTAGCTTAAGGCTTGCAAACGTTGATCTGGAACTCCTTCCCATCCTTCACAAGTCGATACATGTGAAGCGGCCGATAGTGAATGACATCTCAGTCCCATAAATCTGGACTGCCTAATATGACTTGGTAAACGTCCAAAGGAACCACCTTACATGTCACCTCATCGATACATCAATTGGTGATAGCAAATTTGAAGGTACATTGCTTCGCGATCCATAAGTCAACGTCCTTATGAATCCATCCCAGCGAGTATGGCTTAGGATGTGGTGTGGTGTCTAAACCCACTTTTCTTACTAAAGCCTTTGAAATCAGGTTTTTCTGACTTTCAGGGTCAATGATAGCTTGTACAACACTTTGTTGCTTGAATATTCACATGAAACAACTCTTCACGGTTGTATGTGTCTTCAGTGTCTGCTGGTCTTGTCATAAGGGTAAGTGTAACATCAGGTTGCTTCAACTCTGGAAGCTCCTCTGCATGTTGTGCATTTAAGGTGGCTTTTCTGTCATTTCTCCCCCGGTTGTTTTTCTCGTGCTTTGGCTGCAACTCAGGATGGAGTATCCTGCACTTGTCTTTGGCATGTTTGCAGGTTTGACAATGATCACAGTAGACCTTATGTGTCTAGCCTTCCTTGCTCTGCTTCCCTTTTTTCTACCAGTCAGTTTTGTTGACAGGTTTTGATCTGTCATCCTTCTTGTCAATACTTTTATTTTTCACTTCAATGACGATGGCCTTCACAGTAGCTTCTTCAATAGTATCTCTGGGGAACAATTTCAGTTCTTTCCGTATGTAGTCGGCAAGACTTCCGGTATACTTCATGAAAACATCGTAGTCGATGTCCAAAATCATAGCTTGGTTGTGGAACTCAGTTGAATACTCTTGTATAGTCTGCCGTTTGTCTAAAGTGTTGCCACTTATACCATATTTCATCTTCATAGCCAACTCAATAAAATTGTTTTCTCAAGAGCATCTTGAAGTTCTTCCAAGTCAATTTTGAGACATCATACCATCTCCGATAGGACTTTCACCATGTAAGGGCATGGCTTGAAAGTTTCAAACTCGCAAATTTTATCGTTTGCACATTAGAATACTTATAAACTGTGAAATAAGTGTCTAATGTGTCTATCCAATTATGTAGCTTTTCAGGATCAACATCTCCTTTGTATATAGGGATATCAACCTTAAAATCAATTTTTAAGGTATCAATAGGATTTTTGTTGTCACTTGATTAATCTCCTTTTTCACTGGATCAGCTTGTGTGTCGTCTTCATCTTCACTATCCTCAACAACCTTTTTCTTGAGCTTTTGATCAGGCTCATATGAAGTTGATGGATGTGAAGGTTTTCCAGTCTTCAAACTCTCCACGAGTTTAGGATTAATGCAAACAAAATTTCAACTTGTTGCTCAAGCTTAGTGATGCAATCGCCATCACTAGAGGTATCCTGTTTGTTTTCTCTAGTGATAATGTCTCTCTTGGACCTTGGCTTTCGGTGTACGAGCAAAGGACCTAAAAGTTCTTCTCTAGAAGCTTTGCGTTGGTTGCGAGTTGAGACCATAAACCACTGTCACCCTCTCGTATCTGGTGCTCTGATACCACTTCATCCAAAAAATTTAGTCAATAGAACTATGAATTCCTAGTTTATAGGAATAAGGGAATGAGAGGAATTTTAAGACAATTAGAGAAACAAAAGGAAGAAGCTAAGGAACTGCTTTGAGTTCTACTTTCAGAATTGCTTGATTCATTTCAATGAATAACTTACGTATTTATACAAGGTTTGGTTGCTAAAACTAACTAAACTAAAATAGTAAATTATTTTAAGCCATAAAGAATGAATGGCCTAAAATCTCAAACTCATTCAAAACCATTAACTTTATATGGTTTATAACAATTCGTTATAAACCATTAGTTTTTTTATTTATTTTATGGTTTAAATAATTTAATAATATAAATAATTAATTAATTATAATTATATTATATTATGTTTATTTTTGTTGGTAGATCCTCCTGGATCACTTGAGTAAGTTATTCATACAATTTACTGAGACAACTCCAATAAGAGGACAAGGAAGTTGGTTTTCTGGAGGGCATAAAGTACCAAAGAATACAAATGTATATGGGCTAACACAATGCTGGAGTATAATCCCGAGTGAAATTTGTAGAAGTTGTGTCAGTGATGCTTGTCAAGAGCTTCCAAAGCGTTGCCCTCAATAGAGAAGAGCTATAATTTGGTATGAAAATTGCCTCTTACAATACTCAAATTCATCATTCTTAGGTAACTTGACACGTATAACGGACTTTTTGGAAGGAATTATCATTATCGTGATATTCCCTTCTCTTTTTCCATTGTCGAGTACTTATCCCAATTATGTATGGAAGCCTCTAAAAACGAATCTCAGGCCATAGATTGGATTTATGGTGCAGCAGAATGCACTAGAGACATTTCTATGATTTCTTGTAGGAAGTGCTTTGGAGTAGCAATTCGCGAATTTCAAAAATACAGTTTTGGAAATATAGGTGGGTGTGTTTATTATGGGAGCTGTTACATGAGATTTTTAAGTTACCTCTTTTATTATGTTTAGATTTTGTTTTTTCATCACTGTATAAGACAACTCCAACCATACTTCCTATCCAACTTCTAAAATAGAGAGACATCTAAGAGCTCCTAAATCTGATGAGAGAGAAATGACTCCTTCCTAGTGGCTTTCTATAATTTAATGATGCTTTATTTAATGGAAAATGCTAGGCTTACCATATTTTTATATCACATTGTATACCACCTCTCTAATAGAGATGGACCCCATTGTATTGGTGGGCTTCATCTCTATTAGAGATGTGGTACACAATGTAGTATAAAAATGTGGTAAGCCTAGCATTACCCTTATTTAATGAGTATTCCAAACCTTTAATTTATGCTAATTATTTTTTAATAGAGATGGACCAATTAAAAGAGTTATGCTATTTCCACCCCCTATCCTATTTCCTCACCCACCTTATCTTCCCATCCACCATATAAATTTGAAAAAAAAACATAATCCTATCTTTCCTCCCACCACTATTCCTAAAATATCCTTTAATTATTATTTTCTTTTTGTCAAACGTAATAATTTAAAAGATAAATGGAACTTAACAATTAACTCCTGCAATTGTTATTCTTCTTTTCTTTTGTCTTCTTTCTTTCTCTGCAGTTTCTCCACCCAATTGTATAGGTTTTTTTTCCCTCTTCCTTTCTCTAAGTTTGGTTGGTTTTGGTGGTGGCTTGAGAAAATTCGGGGTTGGGACCTGAGAATTGGAGGGTGGTCTCATTGTTGAGTTGGAGGGTTTGTTGGGAGAGGCTGTAGGAAGCAATGACAAATGTAGATGGCGTTTAAGAAGACAGGGCTGAGAAAGAAAGGTCACCTTAAATTGAATTAAATTGACTTTGAACGATTTTGATTATTATGTAGAGTTTGTTTAGGGTTTAGGAAGGAAGAAGGAAAAACCAAACCTGTACAATTGGGTGGAGAAGCTACAAATATAAGAAAACAAGCAGGAAAGGAGGAGAGGTTAAAGAGATAGGAAATAAAAAAAATAAAAAAAAAAGAAAGAAAAAAAGAAGGTACTGCATTAGAGTTTTTTTATTTTTTTATTTTTTTAAATTATGACAAAATTCCAATCCATTGGATTAAATTTTAATAAGGTGGCATAAGTCCTTAAAAGTCATTTTACAAAGGGCTAAATTTGTCCTTAAAATTTTAAAGATAAGGTGTGGGTGGAAATAAGACAGGATAGTGAAAATAGTAACACTCAATTAGAAAAGAGTTATAGAATTTATGACTTCTTAAACTAGAGATCATAATTGGAGTTTAAATTTTACAAAGAGCTTCTAAAATAACTTTTATATATTTTTAGCTAAAATTTAACTAAAAAATAGAGAGCATGATTGTGGATGCTCATATAACATAAATATGTTATATGTGGAAGGATATAGCAGTCTTTTTTTCAATGTTTTACTTTTTGTTACTTGTAGATTCATACAGGTACGTTGTCTTGTTTTTCTCTGTATGTCACCCATAAAGTTGGCGCTTCAGTTTTTCATCAATGTAGTTGTGGGTGCTTGTGTATGCGGAAGGTCCAGGAGGAGTACGATCCAATTGCATTCATATCCATCAATAAGTTTAGGTGTTCTTGTGTATGCGGTAAGTCTAATAACATGTTTACAAAAACAAATACATATACAGAGTGGTTACGAAATATATAAATTGATGCATATGGCTGATCAACACAGTGAAACACAGGTTTAATCCAAATGCTTGAATTCAAGAACTCTTTAATACGCGAAACTCCAGTAGGACCCAGCTGATCAGTGCCATTTTTACTTGTAAAGTTTAATTGTATATATGTGGCTATTCTTTTAGAAAAAGTCACATATTTGTTCCCAAATGGGCAAATCAAAGTAATGAAACCAGTCAGTCTGTTGCAATATCACATATTCCTTACTTCCCCGTTTAGATTAATTCCTTATTAGTTTGTTGATATCCCACTCCTATTCCTTACTTCCCCATTCCTAAATTCATTGATTCCTTACTTGCCTAAATTCCTTGATTAATTCTTCAATTCCCCCATTCCTAAATTCCTTGATTCTTACTTCCTGCATTTACATTCCTTGATTCCTTATTAGTCTATTGATATCCCATCCCTATTATGTGTGTGCTTCTCCCATTCCTAAATTCCTTGATTCTTTACTTCCCCATTCCTAAATTCCATGATTAATTCCTTCTTAGTTTGTTGATATCCCATCCCTATTCCTTACTTCCCCATATATTTGTTATACTATTGATAGGTGGAAAGATAAGAATAATTAAATATGCGACAGGGCAGCGACTTGGTTGACGGCACTTCCTATATAAACGGAACTGAGACTTCTCCATTGGTAAGATTATTTCATTAAGTAATCTAAAAAACAGAAGAAAAAGAAAAGTTGTTTCAGCTGTTGTCGTTTGAATCTAGAAATATGGCCGATGCGGTTGTTTCATTTGTGCTGGAACGGCTCACTGACTCTGTCATTCAGGAATTGAAATTCTTGGGTGGAGTGAGAGATCAGGTGCAGCTTGCACAAACCCAGCTACAATTGATGCGAGGCTACCTCAAAGATGCAGATTCGAGACAAGGAGAAAGTGAAGCAATACGCATTTGGGTGGCGAATATTAGAGATGCGGCTTATGATCTGGACGACGCCATCGAAACTTTTGTCTTAAAAGTGGCGTCCAAGAGGAATGCAAGTCTTTTGAAAATGTTTGCTTACATCTGCGTAGGAGGAATTTATCTTTACAAGATTGGCTCAGAAATCAAGAAAATTACTACCAAAATTTCAGAGTTGAGATCGAGCCTGCCAGGTGACCTAAGGGAGAGTGGAGGCGACACTTCTTTTCAGAGGCAACAAGAACGGAGGATAGCTTATCCTCATATTATCGAACCCCATGTGGTTGGGTTAGCTGGTGGAACGGAGATATTGGCTACGCATTTGATCAAAGAAAAAGGCCCCCGAGTTGTTTCTATTTTGGGGATGGGCGGGTTGGGTAAAACCACTCTTGCAAAACAAGTTTATCATCATGGTAAAGTTAAGCGTCATTTCGATTGTTTTGCTTGGGTGTGTATCTCTCAACAATGCCAAGCACGGGAAGTTTTGGAAGAAATTCTGACTAAACTCATTTCTCCTACCAATGACCAAAGACAAGAAATTGCAAAACTGAAGATTGATCAAATAGCAGAGAAGCTTTGGAATACGCAAAGAGAAAGAAAATGTTTGGTGGTGCTTGATGACATTTGGACCAGTGATGCGTGGAGGTCGTTGCAAGCTGGATTTCCAATGAATGAGGAAACTGAGAGCCGAATTTTACTCACTACTGCAACAAAGAAGTCGCTTCGTATGCAGGCAAAAATGGTTTCCTCTTCGAACCACAGTTGTTGAATGATGATGAAAGCTGGGAACTGTTTGAGAAGATAGCAATGTTTGGAACGGAAGATAAAAGTATGTTCTCACACAAACCTTTTATCTCTACCTTTCTTGTTTATCAATTCAGCGTGTCAACTAACTTTTTCTTTCTCACTCTAAGAAAATTCTATAAGAAATTCTGCAGTTCATGTTTATACTTTTTATTGGTAGAGATCTTTATATTTCTAGAAACTAATTTAATCTAATTGTATTAAACTTTATTTTAATTATTTTAATTATCAAACAACGGATTCAAGAATTTACTATACCCCATATCTAGGGTGTGACATTCTTCGATGAAATAGAAAACTCATAAAGTTGTAGCCCAAATAAAAATCAGCAACTTATGAGTTCCAGAGTGAAAATCATTGAAGTAAATGAATGATAGAATGGCACAATTTGTTTTGTAGACTTTTCGTGCAATTGAACACATGAAGTTAATTAATTTGGTCTTAATATTATTTTTCAGACCCTAAAATTTATGAACAGAAGAAAGAGCTAGGAATGGAGATGCTTCAACATTGCAAAGGTTTGCCACTAGCCATCACGGTGCTCGCAGGACTTCTAGCTAGAAAAGACACAGTTGATGAGTGGAATACGGTGCATAAGAATGTTTATGCATATATAAGGAGAGGCACAGACCTTGGACCCGATTACCAAGGTGAAGGATATGAAGGTGTATCATGGTTATTGGAATTGAGTTACGATAACTTACCATATTACTTAAAACTATGTTTTCTCTACTTAGCCCATTTTCCAGAAGATTATGAAATACCGGTGAGTACATTGACTAAACTATGGATGGCAGAAGGTTTTATATCATCGGCATCATCGGAAGTAATGGAAGATGTATCATATGGGTGCTTAAGTGAGTTAGTGGGCAGGTCCATGGTTCAAGTTGGAAAACATGGTTTGAGTAAGAAGATCAAGACTTGTCATCTCCACGATCTTATGCGAGACTTATGCATGTTAAAGGCGAAAGAGGGGAACTTTGTCCATATCATCAATTATTCTATAGCTTCAGAGACCAAGGAAACTCCAAACGGTAGAGTTCAAAGACTTGCCATCTATTTGGACAGAACGGTGGATACATATGGTCCGGGAAAAGATGAAAATTATGGACATGTTAGGTCTTTGTTATACTTTATCCCAGAATACTTCATGAACTCAAAGGTATCATTGCAATTGTGGTCACTGTTAAAGAACTTCACATTTCTTAGAGTTTTGAAGTTTGAAGGTGTGCTTGGTGAGCTCATGTTACCGGGTGAGATTAGGAATCTAGTGCACTTAAGGTTTTTAAGTATAAAGAATAGTGCAGTTTCAACGGTGCCATCATCTATAGCAAATTTGGTATGTTTGCAGACTCTAAATTTACCTGGAAGTTGGAATTTTAACATTCCAAATCGAAACATGTTTTCCAAGATGGAAAAATTGAGACATATATATTTACCCATATTTCGGAGTGCAAGAGATAAACGTCAATATATATTTTCTCCTAAGGTAGTGAATTTGCACACGGTAGTCAATATTGGTATTCAGGCATCATCTAATCTAGATGATTTTGTTAAACTAACCAACCTTAGAAAATTGGGAGTTATCACATTTGACGGAGGGGAAAAAAAGGAGAAAGGGACAAACATCATATTTAAGCATCTCCACTCTCTATCGATGGACTCTTTTGTCGAGGATCAAGCAATACCATGGAACATAGTATTAAGCTGTCCTAATATATACAAGCTGCGACTACTCGGACATATCACAGAGTTACCAGAAGACCTCATGTACCTTAAGAACCTCACCAAGCTTACACTGACGTATTTTGGTAATCTCAAGGACGACCACTTAAAAGTATTAGAGAAGCTGCCAAGCTTGAGAATGTTTTTTGCTTGGAGCGGGAATTTTCCAGCACATCTTGTTTCCTCAGAGGGAGGCTTTCCATTTCTCGAATTTCTTTCTCTTCATTGGTTGAAGGAGTTCAAAGAATGGAAGGTGGAGAAAGGAGCCATGCCTAGTCTCTGCAAATTGCATATTGAGCGTTGCTATGATTTGGAGGCAGTTCCAGATGGGCTACAATATATTACTACCCTCAAGGAATTAACCATCGAAGGGACGCGTCCTGAATTCTGTAGCCGGCTTGGGGAAGGAGGAGAGGATTTTTACAAAATCCAACATGTGCAGTCTATTATTATAACAAATATTTGGGGAAAAGAAGATTGGGAAAAAATGGTATGCTAAATTTTATTTTTCTTTCTGTATTTCTCTTTTCTTATTTATTATTTCAAGGGAAAAAGAAGTAATTGTTTGTCTCCTCTTTCCAGTTGAAGGGAAAAAGAGTTGGGGGCGGAGCAACAGCTAAAAGAGTTGGGTGAAAAGTCTATTTCTTTTTAATGAGTAGCAAGTGAAAAGTGTGTTTCATTAAAGTAGTAGTATTTCTATTTTATTTTAGTTTCATTAAACACCTCTATCTCTCATCTTTCGCAAAATAAAAGTTCAATAAAATCCTTCCATCTTTTAACAACAAAATGAAAACTGAAAACAAAGAAACAAAAGTATTACCGCTTGAGCCCAATGTCTACACAAAAGAAATATTTATATATTAGGTTTGGGACAACTAAAGCTGTAGAAATTAAAGTTATAGGAAGGATAAAAGAGTCAGGGCTGGGTTACAAATATTATGGCAATTAAAAGCACAAAGCTACAGGAAAGATTAGGCAGTAACCATGTGGAACACAAGGAATCTTAAACATGGGCAAAGAACATAGTTAACAAGTGAAAGCAGTCAATTTCTTTCCCGTGCCAGAAACAAATTATGCCGATCAAATTTTCCTTTCGTTACCTACTAGCAAGGTATGTGCCGGTAGCATATAACAATCTTCAATTTAGTTTCAAGAAGCAAAAGACTAGCAAAACAAATAAATTGATACATATTGCCTCATCGACCCAGTGAAACACAGGTTTAATCCAAATGCTTGAATCAAAGAACTCTTTAATACGCGAAACAAAAGATTAGGTGCGGCCTACCTGCAAGCACGGTTAAAGGTCATCATTGGAAATGGCACTTTATTTGAATTTCCATTTGTTTTTCGAAAAAGTACATAAATAAGCATGCCACTCACAGAAGATATATACCTGAAATTTGTGATTCTCAAACCTTCAGAGCAGCCTTGTGAACCATGGTTTCTTTGTGTATTTGGTGGCAGCTCTTCTCAACAAGATCAAGCAATTTCTCCAAGTTCGTAGCCCACGAATTAAGAACATTGTTGCTATCCTTTGCAGTTTGAAAACAGACTATTCCTATTGGCCGGTCAATCTTGGCCACCAGTGCCTTGGACACAACCATATCCGACAGATGCTTCTCAGCTTCCTGAAAAGAATGCGACCAAAACTATAAATACAAGACTGGAAAAGAATTGCATATTTCAAATAAGTCCAGCCATGGCATCCCAAAACTGTCAGATTAGACGGATTACATTTATAAAGTCTGAAGTAATATTATTTTATACTTGTTTATGTCTAAATACACAAAACAAGAAAGAAACCATGTATCAACCCATAGATTCTCACAATTAATCAGCATTACCTAATATGTTAAATATAATAAAGAACTGATGTGAAGGAGAATAATTAAGGATCTAACTCAACAAAAGTACAGACAGCAAATGGAGTGAGGAAGAAAGACAACTGCACAAGAGCAGTGAGTTTCATCCCTTTTTTATGGCTCTATTATTAAACTTCAAAACTAAAATGATGTAACAAATTCTAAATCTGAGGAGTTATTCTTCACTACAAGTCATTGTAAGAAATGTGTATGACGGGAACTGGTAAGTAAAATCTGACTTCTGGTGGGTTACCCTGGAAATTGGAAAGTGAAGCAACTCTTATATTTATGCCTACTTGCAAGTAATCCAGAAAAAATAATCCATTATAGCTCAAATCTCAATAATAAACACAAATTAGCAACAACAAACCTGGACACTCAGACACAGAAGCTCTGCAAGTCTCTTCAAGGTAATCCTTGAGTAGTACTTTGAAACAACAAGAATGTTCTGCAAAAGCAGTATCACATGTCAGCAAAACATAATTACTAACTGAACGGTGAAAAAAAGTGCAGATAATGATATCTGGAGAAATTCTACGTGTTCAATTATTCTCTGCCTTAGATCTTCAGCTGCTTTGTCACCCAAAGAGCCCCCAAGCATGCTCTTCTCACTCTCAAACTCAGCCTTGTACGTGTTCCAAAGGGATGTCCATTGTATGACCTCCATAGTTACCACCTGTTTCAACAGCAACCTACAACAGAACAAAACCGGCCTCATATCATACTAAGAGCTTGTATGATATATGTGATCCAGTAAAGGAAAATGCTATTTTTTAACATACTTAAAATATGGTATCTCAGAAAGATTCTTATCCTCCAGGGTGGAATTGAGAAGACTTGACTGCATTGAATCGTATGGCGCCAGAACCAAGTACCAACAGATCTTCCTCAGGACCTATGAGAAGAAAAATATCAGAAAAGCTCAACCAAATTCAGGAGACAATAAAAGTAAGAGCTTTACCGGTATCCACTGGGCTGGATTCTCTCTGACAGAAGGAATATCGTATATTGCCTTATAGCAACGGCAAATCTCAAGGTAATCGTTGTTATGAAAATAATACCTGCAAAGGAAATAAGACAACATCAACAATCCATCAAATTTCACCAAGAAGGCAGTTGTGAAAAGGACATCCAAAATTCAGATGGTTTGCAGAGACCAGTTACAATTAAACAAAAAATCAATCGCATAGAATCAATTTTGAATGACTGCAAAATATTGAAATCAACATTTATTGGTTTCATAGATCATGCTTGGTTATACAAGTAACTTGTGATTGTGATTAATAGGATCGCCTAAGCAATGTAATACAATGGATGATAGGCACTTCAAGAAAAGAAGGTGCAATTTTGTTAACTAATCTAAAAGAGCCTACGGGAATTTAATTATATCAACTGCCAACCTATTTGTACAGTTATGCTGAAGATATTGCATGTCTTTGGGAATGTGGAACCTCCGGTTGTTGGTTTTGGATAACCATGAGAAAGGAAACTCCATACCTATATTTTCACTTACCAAAAGCAGGAAGGGATCCATTCCCAAATGGCAAAACAGTGAAACAAAAACTTAGAGCTAGATTTTGCATTTCTTCACAACACCCTAATAACAGCATTTCAAAAGTACATATTTACAGTTCAAGTGAAAACAAACCCTACATGAATGTATAAGAATCTGATGTTTGGTGAAACAAAAATCTAAACAAGTAGTTGAGGTTTAGCAAACAGTGGAAAAAAAACACAGAACAATAAAAACATAGGAAAGGGATAAAGACACCCCACCGTATCATTAACTCATAGTAGATCCGCTTCAACTCCAGGAGTGATGGAATATCAGCAGGAGCTTCTTCCACCATATTGTCACCTTCTTTAGGTTTTTTCTTTTCTTTTGAAGGATCAATATCAAAAACTCTTGGACTAATCTTCCTCGATAATATCTGAGCACGAACATAATCCTGGCGGTCTAAGCACAAACGAACCTACAAAAGTAATGCAGAATGACTCATACTAAGAATCAGAAATAATATTGCCATACTTGTGATTGTAATGAATGAGTGGTAAATATTAAGAGTGATCTGAAAGGAAATTAAACCCATACTTGTTCAAGAATGAAAGCAATCTTCTCAGTTTTTGCCATAGCACCAAATGTTTCCACCTGTAAAGCTTAATGATTAGAAATGAGTGCTCTGGAATGTTTTCAGCATTTTTCTTTTTCTTTTCTGTTTGATGGGGGAGAGGGAGAAAGGTTTCCAAAGATTATAATTCCATACTGACCGCAATTTCTTGCATCAAATCAGCAGCTTCAGCAATAAGCCCTTGCTCTTCCTTAATCTTTGCAAGTCTTTTGATTAGACGTGCCCTCTCAATTTCAACATATATCTAAAGAACAATACAGCTTATTAAAAAATTTAACAAAAAAATACATAAAAAGTTAAAATTGCATAATTTCAATGGAGGCAGTTGAAGCTTTTTACTACAGTTTACCTTCCCAGCAGAAATATTATTTAGTGTCTTAATAAGCTCTATACGAGTTTCAAGATCAGGTGTCTGATCAATATATTGCATTGCTTGCTGGACCATTGCAGTTACAGCCTGCATAGAAACAGACAGCCCAATGAGTGATAACAATAAAAGCGCATTACTTCTAGGAATGGAATCAACGAAAATTAAAACATATTCTCACACACAAAAAATACTAATATAAAAATAATGGCAATACTTGATTGAAACTAAGACAAAATGCAGATAAAATGTGCAACCCAAAGCCGTCTTCAGTAAGAATATCAATATTCATATCAATATTCTCTAATCAAGAGGTGGAAGATATGTATTTACAGAATTAAATGCATATATATATACAATTTTTTTTACTTAAGAATTAAAGAGCCCACAACCACATATGTCCCAACCACAACAGTACTCCTCTAAAGTTCACAAGAACTCACATACATAACTACAAAGTTGTAAACATGCCTTTTCATTAATACTTGGTAAGTGTTGACATCCACTGTACAAACAAATAGAAACAAATATAATCATTCCAAAGACAAAGATTGTTAAATACATACATAGATGACCAAAACTCAAATCTCTTCTTAAAATATATGCAATGGCACAAAAATTTACTATAATGGATAACAATAACTAATTGTACACCGTACAGGCACCATTTATCAAAGACAAAAATCATTCTAATGGCTGGTTACATACAGATACTTAAAACTTAAACAATGACACAACAAAGATGACAAAGAATCTAAGATTTACTATGGGTGTACCTGCTTTAGCTGACCACGGCGTTTGGATAAGACAACAATCTGGTCATTGAGGGTCTTCCAAGCACCTGCTTTGAAGCAGAGCTCAAGAATGTCAGTGGCTGCTTTCTTGGTTCCTGCCACATCACCAGCGGTCCTCATCTTCTTCTCTACATTCAGCAATTGCTCTATTTGCTCATCTAAATTGCCTCCTCCTTCCTGAAAATTCCACAATTTTACAAAACCACGACTCAGGATCAAGCAGTGTCAATAATTGAAAAATTAGGGCCTTTCAGATCTGGGAGATGGGGGTTCAATTGGCTTACCATTTTCGACGATGGAGTGGTGAATAAAACCCTAGTAGAGTCCTTCTGGTATGAAAGAAACCTTTACCTGAAATGATACAACAAGCCAATAAGAACATGATTCACGGGAAAATAAAAAGTATATCAAATTATCAGATTACTTTCAGTTTAACATCGTGAATAGAAAAACAAAATCTGAACC